TTTTTGTTTTGTTTTTGAGATGAACATCTCACTTTGTTGACTAGACTTGGCTTTAAGGTGTAAACTTAAATGATTCGACCTTAGCCTTTCAAGTAGCTGGGCCTGCAGGTGTGTGCTGACATACCAAGTTCAAATTTTCATATTTTATAATCAAATACCTAGGGATAGATTTAAATTTTTAAAAATAATGTGTGACTGTGATATATATGCAGATAGATACATTTTTACAGTCAATTTTATAGCATATAATTATACATGCCTATAATCCCAGTATCGTGGGAGGCTGAGGCAGGAGGATTACAAATTTGAGCCTACCTTGGGCAATTTAGCAACTTAATGATACTCTGTCTCAATTTTTTTTTCGAGACAAGGTTTTACTGTGTAGTCCAGACTGGCCTTAATCTCACTGTACAGTCCAGGCTGGCCTTAAATTTGTGATGATCCTCCTGCTTCAGTTTCCTGAGTGCTGGGTTTACAGATGAAAACCACCAATTTTTTTTTTTTTTTTTTTTTTTTTTTAAGGGCTAGCTAGGTGTGTTGGTCCGTACCTATAATCCTAGAATTTGCAAGGCTGATACAGGACCATTGCCACAAGTTTGAGACCAACCTGGGCTACATAGTGAGTTTAAGGCCAGCCTGAACTAGTAGAAACCCTGCCTCCAAAAATAACAGTTTGTTTTATTCTTTGCTACTCAAGACTTCACATTTGCCAGGCAGAGGCATTGTGCCCCTGAGCTGTATCCCCGGCCTGGTAAAAACAACAAAAAGTAAAAGAGCTAAAGTTTTAGCTCAGTGTGAAGGTCCTGGGTTCAGTTCATAATATTGCAGAAAAACTGAACAAAATAATACTTGTTTTGCAAAGCTTTTTGCTTACCTTTTCATGTTACTTGAATCCATTCTCTCTCTCTCTCTCTCTCTCTCTCTCTCTCTCTCTCTCTCTCTCTCTCTTTCTTTTGGGACTTTAATTAGAAGTATGTTAAATCTGTTCTCTAATGTGCTTTGTAACTATTATTCACTGTTCTGTTCTTTTGTCTTTCTCTGCCAAATTTTAGATGAAATTTTGACCTGTTTACTAATTCTTCAGCTATGTCTAACTTGTTGTTGAATTCTTGTTTTCTTTTCTTTTTTTCATTTGGTGAAACTGGGGATTGAACTCAGGCCCTTGTGCTTGCTGGGCAAGCATTTATTCTACTGAGCTATCTCCCTGGCCCTGAATTCTTTTCAGTTTATTTTTTGTCTTGAACTTCCACTGTTTTCTTTTACTCTAGTTTTTAATTTTCTGTGAAATTCTGCCATATTATTTAGATCCTTCAAGATAGTAAGCAATTTAATTTTAAATTCTGACTTAAAACCACAGTATCTATGTCTTGCTTAAGTTTCTTTTTAATGACTTTTTTTTTTCTGATTTCATTTGTATTATCATGCTTGTATGTACCAGAAAGTATTTACAAAAATGTCGAAGTAGTTTATTTATTTATTTATTTTTCAGAACTCAGGTCCTTGTGCTTGCCTGGCAAGCACTTATTCTACTGAGCCATCTCCCCTACCCCTTTAGTTTTCTTTTTGTATAGAAGTAATTTAAAGATCTTTCTTTACATAAGTTGTTTATATAAAGAAGTCTTGCATTCATTCAACCTAGATCTTTTGCATGCTACTGGTTGAGGAACATCTCATTTCAGGACAGAGGATGTTCATAATTTAGCTGCAGTCCTGTCAAAGACTTATTTATAGTACTTGTAGTTCATGTTGTTCCTGTAGAGTCCTTTGCGTTATCTCAAAGAAATAGGGACTAAAACTGGGTTTGTGATATACACAAGTAATCTCAGCATTTTGGAGTTTGAGGCAGGAGGATTGCCATGAGTTCAAGGCCAGCCTGGGATACATAGGGAGATGTTGTCTTAAAAAAAAAAAAAAAGTATGAACTAGGTGTGGTGGTTTATACCTGTAATCCCAGCATTTGGGAGGCTGAGGCAAGGGGATCACTGGGAGTTCAAGGCCAGTGTGGTATACAAAATTAGTTTAAGACCAGCTTGAACTATTAGTGAGACTTTGTCTAAGAAAACAATCAAAAATCAAATAAGTAAAGGTCTCTGGGCTTTGCTGGGCTTTGGAATCTGCCCTCAACTCCATTCCTAAAAGGCTGTGCCATTTGCCCTGGATCTGGCCTATGTCCTCAGGACAAAAGCATCTGCAAATGTTGACTTCATCTCTGGGCTTCTGTCCTCTAGTACATGGAGTGGAAATGTTTGATCATCTAGGTATCACTCTGTTCCTTCATGCAGTTGTCTTCTATATTTTGTAGTACTTTTTCTAGTTGTTTTTAGTGGTCTAGATATGTAATTTGCAATTACCAAAAATTCTGTATTTGAATTTTAAAACTACTTTATTATGGAGAATTTCAAATGTGCAAATTTAGACATACTAGTATAATGACCCTCACATGCTTATTACAATAATCAGTAAGTCTTGGTTAGTCCTGCTTTATCTGTAGTTCCATTCACTCTCCCTCATCCTGTACTGTTTTGACATTAATTCCAGATGGCACATGAATTTCTCTATAAATATTTTCATATGTGGCCCTAAAAAGTAATTAAAATAAAACCACAAAATTATTATATCTAAGTAATGATAATAGTTCCATAATTACAGACAGTGCAGCTGCTGTTCAGATTACTTTGTTAATTTTTGGTGTAATTATATCTAGCAGGAGGCCTATGAAGTTACTTTGTTCTGAATCGCTAACACTGTGCGGAGATTCTCTAGCATGGCTGCAGAGGCTTTCTAAAAAAAAAAAAAAAAAAAAAAATTGAGAGCCAGATGTGGTGGCACAGCTCCAGGCCAGCCTGAACTGCATAGGGAGACCCTGTCTTGAAAAAAGACAACAAAATTTTTTTAAAAATATTTTAAAAATGGAGACAGGGTCTTACTATGTAGTTCACGGTGATCTTGAAATCAGTAAGTAGCCTAGGCTGGCCTCATGATCTTCCCACCTCAGCCTGGCGAGTGCTGGGATCACAGGCATTTGCCACCACTCCTGGCTTGCATTGGCCTTTTATGGCTTGGTTGGCACCAACCATGAAGATTGTCTGACATGCTCCTAAGTTCCTCTTCATCTGTCTAAAACATGCCCCTATTTATAGTGACAGAATTCAAATCTGTCTTCTCCTGTGTAGCCTGACTATAGCACTGTCCTGCTGTCTTTATCTCCCACTTCTGTAGCACTTGGTTGTGTTATTTGTGTTATCTTGTATAGATTATGTAACTTCTCAGGATTATGAACTGTGGGAGGATAGGTTCCTGGGTACTCTGTACTTTATGTATCAAACTGAGTCTGCTACCTTGTGGGCAAAATAGCACCTGTCCAGCATCTCAGGAATTTTGTGAGGGCCAAATGAGGTAATGTCTGGAAACATTTATTACCTGTATAACAAACTTACAAGGAATTTTTAGCACAAATTCCAGAACACAGTCTATGTGAGGACAGAAACCTTTGTTCCTAGGCTTGTCATAGTACCTGACAGTAGAGTTCTAGTAAATATTTGTTGATTTAATTTATTATCTGAATTTAGCTATTTTCTCATTCTTGTTTATCAAATGGTGTGAAATATCAGTGTTAAAATTAACCTAGAGGAAAAGGTTAAACTTTACCATAATTTTTATTTGATTTCTTTTCTCCCCTCACAAATCTTGATAGGTCTGTCTCAACATGTAGTTACCAACTATAACCAAGTAATCCAACTCTTGGAGGAGGGAATAGCAAACAGGTAATGAGTTTGTTTGTTCTCATCATTCTTTCAGCCTCATTCTCTTTTCCTGTGTTCTGTCCCCCTGTGGACTGTGGTGACATAGTTGTCTCTCTCTGCAGCTCCATACCAACAGATCCTTCTCAGAAGAGTAATATGCTCAGGATAAGGAGTGCTGACTGAGGATTAGTGCTCTTCTCACTAAAAATGAAGTGAACTTTGTTTTTGATATAATAGTAGGCAATAAGTCAAGATAGATTTATACTTTGCCTTAATATACACAGCTTTTGCTACTTTGATCAAAGAATGGGTTCTTACCTGCATTATCCTCTTCTTAGGTTTGATAAATATAGGATAAAATACATCAGGAAATAATTTTTGTTCTGTTTTTGTATACTTGTAAGGTGACGAACTCAAATTTGTTTTAATTTTTTTTTTTTTTTTTTTTTTTT